GACTACAGACTGCATACTTTTACATATAGGACACCCTAGAAAAGGAAACCTTTTGGGATGGAGAGATCATTGTTGGCAGGAGTTACTTATGGGGAGTAGGTTTGACTACAAAGGTATGGCATTAAGGAATTTGGGGAGGAGGAGAGGGAACTGGTCTGTACCTGGTTGAGGTGGTGGTTCTCTGACTTGATACACTAGTCAAACCTCACTGAACTGTACACACTCAAAAGAAGGTGAATTTTGCTGTAAGTAAATGATAAAAAATAAATTTAATAATATGCCCAAAACAAACAAATAAAGTAGCAAAATGTAATCAGAATTCCTTTATTTCTCGCCACTGTACTGCTACCACCATAGACTGGACAATTGCTTTCTCTGTTGCTTCTCTGGACTCTTCTCCCATATTACAGCCAGAGTAAACTTTTGTACACACAAATCAGATGTCACTCCTCTACTCAAAACCCTCGGAGGCTCTCCATTTCACTAAGAATAAAAACCAAGTCTTAAAATGGCCTACAAGGGCTTTTATGATTTGCTCTTCCCCACATCCTCTTCTAAATTCTCCGGTAGCTACTCCACTCCATCTACACCAACCTTGGTATTGGCCCACCTTAAACACACATACACACACACACACACACACACACACACACACACACACACTCTGGCTGTGAGGCCTTTGCTCTAGCAGTTCCCACCCCCACCCTCTGGAGCAGTCTTCCCAAGATGCTCACTCCCATCCAGGTTTTCTTCAAGGATCACCTTCTCAGTAAGGCTGAACCTGAACATTCATTTAATGCTGAGAGGTGCCCTTACCTGGTACTTTCAATTCCCCTGCTCAATTTATATTTTTGGCACTTATCTTTCATTAAACTAACTAGAGGTCCAGTGCACAGAATTTGTGCACTAGTAGGGTCCCTAGAGGCTGGCGGCGGCCAGCTGGGTACTCCCTCCCTTCCCCCAACCACAAGCCACCAGCCGGGGCCTTCCCTCCCTTCCCCCGGCCAGCCCCGCTCCCTGGTCAAACTCCCGGAAGAACTCCCAGTCAAGGGGACAATTTGCATACTACACTTTTATTATATAGGACTAGAGGCCCAGTGCATGAAATTCATGCACTGGGGCGGGGTGCCTCAGCCCGACCTGCCCCCTCTCCAATCCAGGAGCCATCAGGGGATGTCCTACTGACGGCTTAGGCCCACTCCCTATGGTTCTCTGTTCTCTGCAGGGCCTGGCTGCTTTGCTGCTGCCATGGTGACAAAGCCACCACACCTCGCTGTCTGCTCTCTGTCTGCTGGGCCTCAGGGCTTCGCTACTGCTGTGGGGATGAAGCCCCCATGCCCTGCTGTCCACTCACAGCGGCGAGGCTGAAAGGACTGGGGGACTCCAGTGGGGCAGAGGGGACTTGGTGCCACCATCTTGTGGCTATAGGCACCACCATCTTTGTGGTGGTGTGATGGTCAATTTGCATACTCCCACTTTATTAGATAAGATTATTTATAGGTTTTCCCTATTATTCAAAGGTAGAGTGTTTCTATGAAACTTTTCATAAGCCAAATGGCATAAAGTAAAGAAGCAATTACCATTAATTTATACAAAAAAATATTTTGAGTGTTCCCACACCCAAAATAATTGGTCATTTAGACCCTAACCTACCTGTTAAAAGCACAGTTATGTTTGCTCTCTGACCTGGCACTGTCACTAGCACAGTTATGGCCTTCTTAAGTGGAAGATTTAGAACAGTTCTGTTCTAAGCCCAGCTCTGCATCTAACTTGTTAAGAAATCTTAAGCAAGTCAACTCCCTATGTCTGTTTTCTGTTCTATAAAATAAGATCGTTTGCGGGAAAGCTTTTCAAGAGCTGCTGTAGACTTGGGAGAGATGCATATAGACTTTGCACATTAGAACCACCTGAGAAACTTCTATAGAATTCTGATGCCTGGGCATCATCTCCAAAGACTCTAATAAGTGGTCTTTGTGGAGTTAAGCATTGATATATACCCAGGAATGAGAACCACTGACCCAAAGATCATGGTAAAACAATGTTCAAGAGCAGTTGTCCATGCGTGTAAATTAATGTGTCCAGGTACATATTTACTGTTAAAGTTGAATGTGAATCACATTAAGCTGACAGTACTGAAGTGCATTTTGTTGAATTGGTCAACATCACCAATGCTGCTGCAGACACCAGGGAGGCAGCACAGCCAAGAGTAGCCATAGCTGGGCTCAGTGGGGGTTTCTTCCCATTTTTTCAATTTTTCTGCTACCTTTGAGTACACTAACTATTGATTTCCAAACACCTAAAGAGTCACACCTCACTTGCTCCCCTTCTACACCTATCATTAAAACTAAGCAGATTGCCCTTCTACAGCTATCCTTAAAGCTAAGCAGGTTATTTGTTCATGCCAACCCAGGTGAATCTGGGTCATTTCATGCACTTGTAGGAACTGTGTAGACTCTGTGCAGTATTTTTTTTCAAGTTGTATATCTTATCATTGAATCTTGAATCTGAAATTTCAGAATCCTCCCATTCTAGCTCCTCAGACTTGTTCCGGAAACCAGAACCAAAATAAATGATTTCTGACCACGTTTTGAGGCCATCTTAAAAGAACAGCACCTGGAGCCCTCCTGTACCCTTGGGAGCTCAAATTCTGATGGCCACTATCCAGGACCATCTGCTTAATGACACCTCCCTCTTCCTGCTCTCATAATTGGTAGCAGACTACATTTGAAGTGCAGTACCACAGGCACCAGAATTGAGAGCCCTGTTCAAGCTAAGAAATTGAAAAGAAAACTTTCAGTCACACTAATGTTTTGTGGGGTTCCATGATGCCATATTCTCCATGGTTTTTTCTTTTAAATATAAATTTCCCAACTGTTTATTTAAACACGATGCACAAAAAGTTACAAATGTCCTCCATTCGTTTTTGTGAAAGCTCACTGCTTAGTTGTTTTGACAGGTTCAGTGATCATTGCAATTGCAAAACACAAAAATGTTCTACTTTGTTTTGTAACTTAAAACTCTGAGTCTCAGTAATCAGAAAATTTTTAGGACTTTGAATGTACACAGACATTTTTCTTATCTCTTAACAATCACACATCAGGGCCTTCTATGACAGGGCACAGATGGCCTGTCTCAATCCCAACTGCCTGAGAATTTGTACCTTCTCTGTAGATTTTCAGGGTCTCATATGCCCAGGGAGGTCCCCCTCATTGAGCCAAGCCTCCCTGCAGGATAAAATAATCTATAAGGGAGCACTTTGATTCTCCCAAGTGCTATGCAGGTGTTGCTGGAGAACAGGGTGTATGGGAGCTTCCTGGTGAAATCTGAAACTGCTCCCCATACACAGAGGGCAATGAGAGACTGCAGAAAGAGGCAGACCACTCCAGATTGGTAGATGATAGTCTTAATAAGCAAGGGAACTTACATACAACTCTTGCATTGGGTGACCACAAGATGAGTAGACCGTTAAACATTTACAGGGAGGCATTATGAGGTTCAGTCACGGATTCAATCCAGATGGTCTCAACAATAGCTTATCTCAAGGCTGTGTCCTTGGGGCAGCCTGTAGTGTGGAGAAGGCAAACAGAATGCATATTCCAAGAATGGGGGAGGGGGTGAGAAGCCTCTCATTGTCCCAGAGTGATGTTTACATTTTACATTCCCACCAGCAATAGATGAGTGACAGAAACTAATTTTCTCTGCATCCTCACTAGCAATTGTTCTTGTCACTGTTTTTTTTTTATTTTAGTAATTCTGATAGATGTATAGTGAAATAGCATTGTTTTTAATTTGCATTTTTCTAGTAGGTTGAACATCTTTTCATGTACTTATTTGTCATCTGCAAATCCTTTTGAGGGCAATTTCAGTTTAATGTTCTTTGTCCAAGTTTTAGTTAGTTTGTTTATAGTTGAGTTTTGAAAGGGTTTAAAAATATATTCTAGGTACCAGACTTTTGTTGGATATCTGACTACAAATCTTTGCTTCCAGTGTGTGTAGCTTGTCTTTGAACTCCCTTAACAGGGTCTTTCTCATAGCAGACGTTTTTAAATTCAATAAAATCCAATTTATCAAATTTTTATTTTATGGATTGTGTTTTTGTTGTCAAGTGCAAGAACTTTTGCCTAGCCCTAGATCCCAAAGATTTACTCCTAAGTTTTGTAGTAAAAGTGTTACAGTTTTATATTTTACCTTTCAGCATGAGACTTGGTCAAGGTCCATATTTTTTAATTTATTTTATAATGAAAAATTTGTTTTTAAGGATCAGAGTTACTAGCACAATCATCTTAACAGTCGTTGCTACTATTGATGTTTTTCTTCCTAAAACAACTGTCATTTTTTTCTCAGGGAGACACTGAAGCAGGCACTGTGGGGATTTCTGTGACAGCCCTTCCTCGCAGGGCCTGGGTGCTGGTTCTAAAGGATGACCCCTGTCATTGGTTGTGTGCACACAGGCTTCTAACAAGCCAAGGATGCCTGAGTCACGATTAAGCAAAATGAATTAAGTGAAGAATTGTGGGAATGAAAACCTGTAAAGGCTAAGTAAAGAGAAAATAATTGGGGATCAAAGAGCATTGTTACATGGTAGAAGACAAACAAAAATCAACCCCGGAGATGTGGCCAAAGGAGTGGTGAGAGACCAGTGGGAATGTGGGCAGCAGCAGAGTGCAAATCTGAGAAAGTGGATGAACAACTTCAGGGCTCAGACTGCTGATCCCCAGAGAAGAGGGGAGGGGTGGGGACAGGACAGCAGGGCGGGGAGAAAGAAATTCTGTTGAAGTCACTCCTGCTGGGCACCGGGAACGGCAGGGAAAGCTCCGAAGGAGCGAGTGACAACTGCGACTGGGGCAGCCCTGGATGAAGGCGGGAGCTGCGCAGAAGGCGGTAGCTTTGGCCAAGCCTTCTTGCCAGATTAGAAGGGGCGACGGGGAGGGACCTTTCAGCGGTCGCAGCGCCAGCACTCCCGCCCGGGAAGATCTTGCCTCCACAGCCCAGCAGCGGTCCCAGTCTGCGCGCTTCTGTCCCCGCGCGCTTCGGTCCCCAGCTCCGGGAACCAGGTCTTTTCTTCCCAGCGCGCCCATCGACCATGGATGGCAGCTCTCTGCTCTCGGTCCCAAGGTAAGACCCTTTCCCCCCCTTTGCCCAACCCAGTGCCCCGCAATCTCCGTTTTCGCCCTGGGTCGCTCAAACTTGCCTTAGGGGCGCCCGGGTCTGCGCGGGGCTCCTGCGAACTAGACCGAGGACTCTGCACCCCCAGTTAATTCGGGCCGGGGCTGGGCGAGGAGCGCTTGGGAGAAGGTGGTCCCTGTCAACTGCCCGGGGCTCCAGGCTGGGTGCGGCCTTGGAGCGGGAGTGGCACGGATGGGGGTCAGCCGCCTGAAGGGCCGGGACCTGGGGTCTATTGTGCCCCAGGAAGCTGGAGCCGGACTGTATGCGGACGCAGCCTGGAGAGGTTTCGCACCTTGTAGGGAGGCGGTTTCCGAGGTTCGGGTGAAAATAGGAGGAAGCAGGACTAGGGCAAACTACCCCCCATCCCGTCCACCCAGATCTGGGTGTGTCAGCGGTTGCTGGGTAGGGATGGAGTGAGGATGTAAGGAGTGGGGTGGGGTGGGAGTGGGGGGGAGATTGCCCCTAACCCCTGACCAAGACTAGGGACAGGAAAGACCTCCATCCGCCCCAGTCCCACCCGCCTCTGCTGCCCCCACACCCCCTGCCAGACCGCGATTCTTCCCGCAAGTCTGCGGAGCGCATTCCCTGACTCCACCCAGCCCTGGGGTCGCCACGCCGGTGAGTCAAGGACGCCCCTCAGACGCTGCGGGGTGGGAGGGACGTGTTTCCCTGACTTGCGTCTGCCGGGTCTTCTTCACCTTTGCCCTGTTCTGCGCTCCTCCGATTCAGTCCTTTGAGAATTTGAGAAACTGAGATTTTTCTCTTTTCATCTGCATAAACCTCAGGGGTAAATTGAGGCGATAGCCCTGGCGGTGTTCCGCCGGCCGGGCAGGTGGCTTTTGCGCTGTTGGTGCTGGTTGCTGAGCGTCCTCCGATAGCCTGCTCATCCTTTACTCCCCGTTTCCCACAGCAAACATCCAGGCAGCACCCAGCCGACATTATCAGGCACTGGGATAAACATTTGAAGCTCGCATTCTTGGAGAGCAGCAAAACCCAGCAAGCACAGCCTAGGCACACATGTAGCAAGTTCTATATTGCCCAGGAGCCGAAATGGGGGTGCGAGGGGAGTGGGGGTGGCCGAGAGGGACGGAGACTGCTTTTCAAAGTCGTCAAAGGCTGCCACCTAGAGACGCGAAGTGCTTATATTCTGGAATGAAATAGAGCTTTCCCAACTCCACGGGCATTTACTCCTTAAGCATCCCTTGCTGTCCAGGTAGCATAGGGCTCTGAAAAGGCGGACTGTGTTTTCTGTGCAGGGCCTGTCAGCTCTCCAGTGAAAAATCTCTAACCTTGGGGCCAAACAAGGTCACGATACCACTGAGTCTTTCCATTCTGTCCTAATGCATAAAACGGACAGTACAAACCGCAGGAAGATTCTTTTAGACTTAAAAAGTATATTGCCACTGGTTTTTAGGTACGAGTTTGAGGCATTTTGAAAGTCAAGCAAACTGAGGGATCACTTTCTATACCATGTACTCTATCGCCTGAGGTCATTAGAACTGAAAGGGTGAGCCCTGTGGTTCCTACATTCCCGTAGAAACACTTTTGATAAGAGGTTGCTTGTTTTAAATCCCGTTATGCAGATCAATAGTATTGTGCTTGAATCGGGATTAGATTCCTATTCAAAAGCTTGGACAGCTTTTAAAATATTAGAGATGCATTATGCCAACGATTCCTCAAGATTATTTCTATCGTGATCCTATGAAATGACCTGTTAAAGAGCCAGCCAAATAATATCACTCTGTATTTTTTAGTAGCCTATAAAAATGATAATGAAGATTTAACAATTAGAACTTCTGAGCATTACTGTTTATTCACCAATACACATCATATTTCCACAAGTCAGTGTAGTAATTCAGCTAGTTTATTAGCATCCTTATTCATATAGAAAATTCACGATGAGTTAATTTGATTTTTTATTTCCTTGAATACAAGAAATGATTTCCTTTCTATAATATTTAGTTGGAAGTGATAGGTATTGATAGGCAAAAGTGAACTAGAAATTTAAAGTATTGTGTAGAAATATTATATTAGTATACCACTTGGCCACAAAACTTTGAAATTTAAAGAATTGATGACAGAATATACAAGCTTTTTGAAAAAAAAATGTCAATGATCAGGGAAAATCAAATTGTTATTAATCGAGACTTGCATAAGAAATGGTTCTAGAGCTAGTGAGCTTAGCATGTAATTTCAACATGCCATTGTTTTTTATTCAATTTTTCTCAAACTATAGTCTCTGAATAAAAAAAAAAGCAGCTGCAAAAACAGGTGGAAGCTGTAAGAAATTTTGACACAACCACAGGAAAACAATGAAAACCTAGAGCATGCAGGCACATGAGTTAAAAAGTTTGTGTGTATTCCCAAGAAGTCTAAGAATCCAGACACTGAAACCTTTACCTGCCCATTTCTTTTTTGAGATCAAAGAAGTGACATATGGTTTGAGAGAATTTCTCTCTAAAAAATTAAATAATATTCAGATCACTGTGCTTACTTTTATTCCTTTCATTTAAACACATATTACATGGCCTAATTATTGACATAGTTAACAGGACATCTTAGAGTAGCTAGGGATTCAGAAGTACAAGTTAGTTTAAAAATATATAAAGGTATTGTATTAGCTTTCTAGTTGCTTCAACAATTAGTTGCCACACAATTAGTGGCTTAGAATGATACACGTTCATTTTACCTTGCAGTTTTGTCCATCAGAAGTCTGACCTGGGTCTTACTGGAACAGTCAAAGTGTTGGCAGGGCTGCATTCTTTTCTGGAGGCTTCGGGGTGGAAGGGAATCTGTTTCCTGCTTTTTTCCAACTTTCAGAGGCTGCCTGCATTTCCTGCCTCAACTCCTGACACTCTTCCTCCATCTTCCTATCACTCTAACCTCTGTCCTCTTCTTCTTCTAGGAACTCTAGAGATTGCATTAATCTCCAGATAATCCAGAATAATCTCCCTATGTCAAGGTCAGCTGAGCAATAACTTTAATTCCATCTTAAATCTTGATTCCACTTTGCCACACAACAACAACATAATCACAGGTTCTGGGGATTTAAACATCGACATCTTGGAGAACCCATTATTCTGCTGTCAGAGCACAGGCATTAATTTAAAAATGTATCATGCTGGCTCTCAAATGGCAGTTGAGATTCTACTAGGGTTCTATTAGGAATTTCTCTCTCTCTCTCGCTCTTTTTCTCTCCACCCCCCTTTCCTTCCTCCCTCCCTCCTTTTTTTTAAAGATGCAATTTTATTAAATCTTTTAATTAAAGTTTATACTTAATATTATTTTATATTTGTTTCATATGTATAGCATAGTGGTTAGAAAATTACATACTTTACCAAGTGGTCCCCCTGATATTTCCAGTACCCACCTGGCACCCTTCATAGTTATTACAATATTGCTGACTATACTTCCTATGCTGTGACTATTTTGTAACTACCAATTTGTACTTCTTAATCCCTTCACCTCTTCCACCCAGCCTCCCAACGCCCTCCCCTCTGCATCCTTCTTTCTTAAATAAAGGAAAAGAATGACAAGGCTATTTGTTCCTCCACTGTAATATGTGACTCATTCAGTGCAGCTGAGCTGAAACAACCACCAATTCCTGAAGCTTATTCAAGAACATAAAGCCAGATCAGTGTAGACCTACAGAATTCACTTTTTGGGATGTATGTTTGTTGTAATGGTTGTTCAGCAAATATCTCTAATTGTGCCCCTAAGCATAGGTGGGATTACACTTGCTAGTCTCTGTGGTAGAAGGCATGGCCATGTGACTTGCTTAGGCCAGTGCAAAGTGTGCAGAGAGATGTGTGTCTGTTCCAAATGGAAATTTAAAAAAGGCTCTATGTGATTTGCCTCATTTCTCCCACTTTCTGCCATAGCGAATAACATTTTCATATAGTGGCTGCTTTGTCAGCCTGAGTTTCAGCATGAACAGAACTTGAAGCAGAGCCCTCAGCCAATCCATGATGGGCATGTGGTAGGAGCAAGAAATAGACCTTTGTGTTTTAATCCTCTGAGATTTCAGAGTTATCTGATACTGCAGCATAACCTAGCTCACCACACCTAACCCAGCCGCCTTGGGGTAAAATGGTAGGTGGTCTCTTGTGAACATTTCCAAGGGACCTCACAGAATTCTCTTATTGCTCTGGACTTCCAAAGCTCCCCATCGCTAACAGTATACTCCTGGATGTAGTGATGTGAGGGTGGGTTGGAGAAAGGGAGGAATGGCACTCACCCTGATCAGTTGTTGAAGCAGTCAGGAAGCAGGCCCTACGGGCCAGCCCCAGGTAATAACAATAAATACTGCAGCCTACAGTGCTTTCCTTCTAGGCACACAGAGTGTGAACTAGGAATCACACTCATCTGACATCAGTTCACACATTTCCTATTTCACAGATCATACAGCTGCTGCAATTTAAGGATATAACAGTGAACCATATACACATTTAACTCATGCAAATTCAGTACTACATGTTTATTTTCTTTTCTGTCTTTATTTCTCTGTCTCTTTTTATTAAAAAATGCAGTAAGCTTATATTTAGCTTGTATAGTCTATTGCGTATTGTACCTTGCTATATAGTACACACAAATCACTTTTGAAGGCCTTTTTTACAAACTCCAACATGCCATAATTCATAACAAGCCTCTTATGAGATTTGCAAAGGTCAATTTGACTTCACACACCATTTTTAAGATAGGCAATGACTTTAGACCTTAAACCCCCATTAGATGTTTCTAATACTGCACAGTGATTGGCAAAACAATGATTTTGGTGGCATGTCAACACAGAAGAGGAAGATTGGAGAATCCATCATCAGACAACAAACACTGAGCAGACATTCCCTCCTGACACCTTCCAGATATTGGAATGGACTAAGACAGAGTTCCTGACTTCCTTGCATGTCACCTTGGGGGCAAAGGGATTTTAGATGGAAGGAGACAGGCTA